AAATTGCCGCCATTTTTAACCCGATATTGGTTTCGGAGTGGCCGGCTTCGCTGATTTATTGGACACGTTTTCTCTGGATCGGGGGTGGCTCCGGCTGCGCGCTGGCGCCCATGATGATTGTATTGGTCGGCGGGCCGGCCCATATTTTACGGTCAACATGAGCGTCCGTCCCGGGAGGCCGGCGCACAGAGCGAGGGCATGCCACCACCAAATTATGGCCCGCGGAATTAACGGCCGGCCTCTCCGGAGTTTTTGTGGCGGGCGGCGGTTTTTCTGGCGGGCCGATGGAGATGGGAGGAGCCAGCGTCCAACATGGCAGGGCCTATGAAGAGTTCAAATTCCACAGCGCCACATAAACTACCCGGCCTATGGATGGCCTGCCAGTGAGCGCCCTTTCAGTGACGACTGTAGCCTCGGAAAACATTTTTCTGGCCCAAAGTGACCAAAAGATTTTTTTTTTTTTTTGCTGTGACAGGGGAGCCCACTGGACAAATGACACTGCGGTTACCATGGTGATCAGTGCGGACATCTCTCCCGCCACAAAAACGGCGCGGCGCCCGCTGGAACGGCCCGTCCGCAACAATAAAGGAGCCCCGACCACTAATTTCGACCGGAGTTACGAGCGCCGGCCGGGACAGTTGGAGAGATAAAACTCGCCGCGGCCGCCAGCGACTACAAATGAACGGGCGACAGTTGGTGTCGAGTGCCGGCTAGCCGGCCGCGATGTAACTGTCCGCGCTGTGGCCGCGAGTGATTCGTCTGGGGCGCCGCCGGCCGCGGCAGACTGGCCGCGCCGCAGCCATTTTGAGCGGGGGTGAAGGCGCCCAGTTCGGAGATGGTCCCAAACGGCCGGCCGGCCGGACAGAGTCGGTCTCGGGCAGTCGATCGGGGTCCTGATGGCGCCGCCAGAGCGTCATCACTCTGAATTATGGACATGTTTTGTCGCAGAATGCTTCTAAAACTGGCGTTTATTTATCTAATCGAGCCAATTAGGTTTTTCATGTGTGTTTCCGCTTCTGAGATGAAATTTATCGAGTGTTTAGTGGTATAATGATATCGCGTGTAAATAAGTTACGATACTTTACGCATAACATGCAAGTCATGATTATTTGATTATGATAATGCTGCCAAAATCATGTCTTCCTTTCCACCTTTTTTGTCGCCACCATGCATTGAACCAGGCGACAATTATAGCCGGATTCTCAAGTCTGAACTACGGCAGGCATGAGACGTGAAATAGGAATGAATAGAAATTAAAAAGTGAAATCAAGAGTAACAAAAATCGCAAATGCACTTACACTGCACAATCACAAGCAGGAAAAGAGTCGTCCAATCGTAGCCATGATCACTCGACCTTATGTGGCCCATATGACAAGTATTAACTCGGATGCTGGCTTCTTTTTGAAAGTCTTTTTGCCTACGAGAGATTTTTTTTTTGCACTGCACTTCATATATCCGCATTCCGCGGCCAGTGCGACTGCAGGTAGACTCGAAGCCATGCGAAAACATGTCCCTTCAGCGCTGACCCTGCTTGGGGAGGGCTCTGCGCAAGGCAGAATGTCTTAAATTGGCACAATGCTGGTAATTTACTCGCACTCGTATGTCCAGATAAAGTACACAATTCCGCGTAACTACCCCAAGCCATTTTTCTTTTGCAGATACCAGAAATATTAAGAGCTAAGTTATTCAACGGGTGGATAATTCTTAAGGACGTGAGCCAATGTGTGCTTAACACAACGCCATGGGATAAAACAAAAAGGGCAAATGCCAAAAATGTGTTATCATATAGCTTCAACATGTATTTAACCAGATTTTATGGTTAAATGAGCCACCATGAGCCAATGATCCAGATTTCAGCGGCATTTACTGCGGGAGCGGAAGGGGAGGTGACGAGTGCCCACCTCCCTTCTCAGGCTATCTCAGAAGCTGAGCAGCGCGTCGAAGCGCGAGGGATGATGTTGGAAAACTCTCACCCGGACGCGTCTAAAGCACTGAAGTCAAATTATCAGCTAAATGTTTAGTAGAATCTTAATTCTCAACGATAAACTATGCGTGTACTAAAGGCAGACCGAGTTAAGAAAAAGTCACTTCGCATGTGAGTTGTGACATCAGCGCACAGTGACAAATTTTCAGAATGTTGTGAACTCATGTGTGGTTTCAGGTTTTGGCTTTCTGAGGCTATCATTGGCCCGCTCGCCGATGATGGCCCGCGCCCTGTGACCGGTCACTGACTGTGGAATATGACAGTAGGTATAGCTCTGACCGGCCCGGCCGTTACCGCCGCTGACAACAGGCCGTTACCGCCGCTGACAGCAGGCCGTTACCGCCGCGCCGAGAGCAGGCCGTTACCGCCGCCGAGAGCAGGCCGTTACCGTCTCAGAGAACAGGCCGTTACCGCCGCCCGACCCGGCCGTTACCGCCACCGAGAGCAGGCCGTTACCGCCGCTGACAACAGGCCGATACCGCCGCTGTCAACAGGCCGTTACCGCCGCTGACATCAGGCTGTTACCGCCGCGCCGAGAGCAGGCCGTTACCGCCGCCGAGAGCAGGCCGTTACCGTCTCAGAGAACAGGCCGTTACCGCCGCCCGACCCGGCCGTTACCGCCACCGAGAGCAGGCCGTTACCACCGCTGACAACAGGCCGATACCGCCGCTGTCAACAGGCCGTTACCGCCGCCGACAGCAGGCCGTTACCGCCGCCGCTGACGATCTCGGCGGCCGGCCGTGCACAAAACGGACCGATCTGTTGCACGCCATAACCGGCCGGCCGGCGGCTCATGCAACATGCACACCGCGGCTGCCGAGAGAGGGCGACCGGCGATCGTCCAGATGTGCATGAATGATCAGACAAACCCCCTCAGCCGGTGGCCCCCGGCCCTGTAGTTTCCCGTGGAATTTGGCAACGCTCGTTAAGCGGTCTAAGCGGTCCCCCCCCCCCCCCTGTGTGCGAGTGATAATTGGATTGTTTGTAGTGGCAGTGATGTGATTTTAGGGTGCGCATTATGACGTCAGTTACTAACTATCCAGCTTTGCGTATGTACTAGTATGCACAGTATGTATGTACGCACAGGCGGCCCTGCGACTGTCCGTCGGCCCTGCGACTGTCCGCCGGCGGCCCACCCGGCAGCGGACAGAACTGTCGGCTGATGCACGGCGATCTCTGGACATCAATCATCACCCCCCCCCCCCCTCCAGCTCCCCGGCCAGCCAAACGTCTCCCCCAGGTGCGATAACTTTTACGGCCCGTTGAGTGAGCGGGCGCCGCCGTAGTTTTTCGGCCGTTTTAAAGCCGTCAGTCATAAATAATTCTGGGCCGCCGTGGGTGGTCCGCGGATCAGCACGTAGTGACTCGCCGTCGCCTCCCTCTGCCCCGCCCCTCCCGCGCTCTCTCCTTCTCCAGCCATGTCACAACAGTGCGCGGCCGGCCGTCTCGATCCTATCTGTGCTCCCGACCCTCAGCCTCTTTTAGCCTGTAATGATGAGTCTGTGTGTGTGTACGTCTGGGCAGAGGGGGGGGGGGGGCAGAGGCGGACGGCTCAGATGACGCGATAGGGACCGATTAACGGTTCTGGTCTATGGAGACTCTGCTGGGCGCACAGTGCTCCGCGTTGGCCGCCGCCGCGCCAAAAATGGCGCCTCTCGGCCGGCGCGTCATTAGCATGTGGCGGCAAAAACTGCAGTGACGGCTCTATGACCGGCGTGTACTGAAGGAGCAGCAGCCAGCGGAGCAGGCCCTGTTGTGGTTTTAACTGCGACAACAGCGAGTACATATAACATCTTTTCTTAGCGGTTGTAGTGCAGGCCTAATGCATCAATGCATCAAATGCATAAGGCCATACGAGGAGTTTGAGAAAAGTCTCACTCTGTGCTCTGCGTCGCTCATATATGTAATATATTCATATTGCTAATGTTGCCTTGTCTGACCATACAAAAGTACTGGACACTCTGATTCAGCGTCACGTTTCGTTATAGTGTTCTGAACTATAACAGGAACCCTGCAGGCAATCGTCATAACCGTGCACGAGCTTACGTGCACAGCCGTTTGATGATTGACAAACGATCAAACATCCCAGCTGGCCTCAAAGGACACACGATATTTGTATAGCACCAACCAGTCTTTTTTCCACGCATTCGACCGCCCTGGCGCCTTTAAGTGACCACAGCGAATCCCCGGTGTCAGCATTGTTCTGTTTGCAACAACCTACAGTCACCAGTGACTGGGTCGATTGCGCTGAAGACTGGTATATCGTATGATATTCATGGCTCGGTCCAATTCCTCGTACCTCGAATATATACACTCGTACATTCCGCGGCTGAGGTGCTTCCACTCGGGCGCACGAGTACGTGGAAGCACCTCAGCGGCGGACCGGTGGCACTGTAATTTGGCACGAAGTCTACCAACTTGAATTTTTTATAAGTTAGTTTGGTTTTTGGCATTTTTTATTATTATTTTGTTTGTTTTTGGTTTGGTATCATTACCAAATTTTCTGCAACTGGCATTACCAGTAACTGTGTACAATTTGAGTACCTATATGTGTACCGAGACATTTGTTGAAATGTGTTTGGTACTTTTTTATGTCAGCATCCCCAAGTGATCTTTAGATTTATGCCTGCATTAAGAAGACAATATCTATTGCAAAGGTTTAAGCATAGACGATAGACATACATATGTAGAGCTTGTTATTGACTAGCTTGAAAGTGTACCAACATACGCTTCATACCAATCGAACATTGACTAATAACGTACATGTGTATGAGCTGCACATATGTAAGCATGCACACATGTGTTTGTGCATATGTGTAGACTGTAGATATGTTAAAGTGACTATCCCACCTTAACATGAGTTTCTAGTTGTGATAGCCAAATTGCGGTCCCTGGCTGGCAACTACCGGTTTGGGCACTCGCAGCATCGACCGATGCTTTAATTCGGCGATATCTAATTTCGAATTCTGCAGTTTTCGGATTCTAAAGGCCACCGCACACTAGCCATTCGGCCGGTTCATTCGGCCGTTACAGCAGCGATTTTCTCGCGCGAGTCTTTATATCGGCCGAAACAACGAACCAACGACGGTGCATTCGGCCCATATTATTCAGGCATTCGGCCCAAGCGATGTTCACGCGACGACCGAAAAAAAGTTCGACCGGTTGAACTTTTCTCGCCGAAGCAGTCATTTAGCGGCCGAAAATCAACAGCCGCCATATTGTTTTCATACAACCTTGACAAGTGTTGTTTACATTCCAATCATTTTCGATGTGAGGGGCTCGTGTGGTGTGGAGTTGTTTGCGATGGAAATGAAGTAAGTAGGGGAGAGTGGGGCAAAGCGGCCACCCGGGGCAAAGCGGCCATCCATCGTTTTAGCCCTCCACAGCTGGCGTCAGTTCCAATTTATGATTTCCAATTATACTTCTCTTTGCGGTCGTTCGAATGAGCCAGACCGGGGTTTCAGGCCCATCGCCATTGTTCTGTGAAACACGGGAAAGCATTTCTTGCCAGGTTACCAATTATGTTTACAATTTTTAAATGTTATTTTATTCCATAACCGTTTGGAATTTTTATAAGCGTTTTTGTCCATGCATTGCGTGGTTATCGTATATGCCTTCTACCAATTTTAATGCTTTTTACCCCACTAATAGCTGAGCTGGAATATTTTTGTCTCGGGCGGTATGCGCGGGGCAAAGCGGCCGGGGCAAAGTGGCCAGCCCCCAATTGGCCATAAGTTGTTTCCATCTGGATAAAAACATTATTTATATTCAAATGTGTCGTCATGCATTCATCTTGGCCACTTTTCGGTTACATGAGTTACCAAATTATGCAATTAAATGTTTTTCCAAGAAAATTCTTTCTTTGTTTAGCAATAGGTGGGAAGATAACAAAGTAAACATCCATCTTCCCTTAAACCTTGTCACCATCAAATACCCTAGTCGTGCATGAGGCAACTATTCTGTTTCTCATATCGGGACTTGAGAAGTCGCCAGTGGCCGCTTTGCCTCAGGGATGGGGCAAAGTGGCCAATATGCTATAGGTTTAAAGTTTTGTCAATATCTCCCATATGTGAACGCCTTTGGAAATGAAACGCAGTTGGAATAAAAGACAATTTAATAGGGATCACATTCGTATAGAAAGAATCTTTCCAAGTTTAAAATTCAAGCGTCGGCATCGTTAGAAACGTTAGGGTGGCCGCTTTGCCCCACTCTCCCCTATTCGAATGAATATCTGTGTTATGTATTTTGTCAATTGCATATGTGATTCAGATTGAAATGTTGTTTAAATATTGGTTTCAACTTTCAACCATCTCTGCTCCACTATTCATTTCAATTTCAATTTCCATTTCCCCATTTTCTCCATTTGCCATGATTATACATAGTCAGTGGGCATAAATTTGTCTACTACTCAATGCCACAGTAGGTATTCTTGGAAAATGGCCATTTATTATCCATATAAGCAAATATTTTCTGCTTTTGCCAGTTAACTTGAAATGCTGGACACAATTGTTCTAGGTTTCAAGGAGCTATTCTTAAATTCACATATATAAAAATCAAAACGTCCGTATGTATGTATGTATGTATGTAACGCGTCAGTCACGCTTGGCGGGCTATTGCTCCGGAACGGTGCGGGCTACGGCGGTGAAATTTTGGACTTAAGTCGGACGCGTGCATCTGTTTGTCGTATTAAATTTTGGTGGGGGTGCGCTCGGCGGTTTGCACGTGGCGGGCGCATCTCTGCGGCATTTTGGGCCGCGGCCGGCGCCGATCAGAGAGCACGCGCCGTAGGCTCAGATTGTTCGCTGCGAAAACTGAGCAAAATCAGAGCCGGAAGGTCACTGACCTTTGGCAATGAATACCGGAACAGGGCACCGCCGGCCAGGAGGAGACGCCAAATTTATTCTGGCCATAACTCGGCCGCTACTGGGCCGATTTTGATGAAACTTGATTTATTACGCTGCGCGTAATGCTCGGCACCTAGTTATTTAATCAAAATTCAAACCTTGCAAGTCAAAGTCATTGAAAGTACCTGTAATGTTCTTATATAATGTTCTTACCATGCAATCTGGGTTTTCATTTATCATTTCATTCACATTGCCTCCAACAGGCTACTGTCGCACTAATGTGTCACATATTAGATATGTAGGTACTTAATTGCATGGTTGGTGAAAGTGTTGAGCACAACTCTTTCTTATGGTACAAGAAGTGCCATAATTCAAAATCTGAGTTGTCAAAGTATAATAGAAATTCCATTTTTCAGAGTATTTTTTCCTTTTTCTGTGTTTCTGCCAGATCAAGATGTTGGTTGTGTCAAACGTAGGGCCATGAAAGAAAAGTCTGGAGGCTTTATGGGATGCACACAAACACTTGCATGCAATATTTGCATTGAAAGAGTTGTGAGATCAGCATGCTGAATGTGTTTTTTGTGTGTTTTTGTCTGCTCTGTACAGGAGCTCATTTTATGTTAAATAAAATGTAATGGCACTGAACAAATATAAAAATAGCCACCTGTCCTTTCTGTAGTAGCTATTCACCATTCAATACTGTTTTGTGTATCATTTATTCCCCAGAGATATTTCACAATAGTGATAGTTTTCTTCTCTGCCGGGTCAATGAACCAGGTAGATGTGTCCACTCCAACCAGTGCAGATCCAACTTTGTGTACAGTTGTACACATTTCAGTGTGATGAGCGGACCTTTGATAGCTGTTCCACCAACCCGCCTTTAGATGGCGCGCGCGTCTCCCAGCAGGCAGCAGAGGCGACATCTACTGTCGGCTCAGCTGGTGTGGAGGGTGCACCGAGTGTCATTACCAATATACCTATAAAGTATAAACACGCCATTGCAGTGGCCTCACTCGAGGTGGGCTGGACCCAAGAGGATGGATGACTCGGGCTAAAACGATGACGCGGGTCGTGGGCCCAGCAGCACAACAGGTGGCGTTCAAAATTAACAAAGTCCCTATGTTTTCAGTTGGGTCGGAGAAGTGGATCTCATTCAAGCGGTACACAACAAGCCAGTTTCATGAAACACGAGTCTTCCTGGACGATGAGGCACCAGCTGAACCGCAAACGGCCGGCGCACCAGCTCTGTCCCCGGGGCCGGCGCCCCGGCAAGCAGCACCAGCTCCAAGGCCGGCGCTCGGGCCAGCCCCGTCTCTGGAGCGGTCGGTGCCGGCATCACCAGTGTCCGCAAGGAGCAGCCGTGCCCAGTCGAAACGCTCGCAGCACTTCAAAGTGTACAACAGGTGGCTAAACCGTTGAATGATGCCGACCTGGCTTTCGGTCAGTGTGTAAAAGCGGTTCGAAAAAAGCCATCGCTCCCGGAACTTCCGCTCACTGGCGCGCGACGTCTCCTCCGTCGGCTCCGGCAGGTACACTGCACCGCGGACGTTCACGATCGCGCAACAGATGTACACCAACGCGCGCGTGGTCGACTCCGCGAGCCGGTAGCTCGGCGCCAGAGCGGAAAATTCAGCCCCCGACGCCAGATAGTGGAGTGTAATCGCCAGCCGCAGCGGTGCGCTCACCGGCTGGAGGAAGGTGGTGGTCGAGCGGGTGATCTGGCCCTCGATCTGTGCTAGTAGGAGGCTGAAGGCTCCCTAGCTCAGTCGGAAATACTGAACCTGTGTCGCTGGGGGTCGTTGAGCCGAAGCTCCTGCTCTCGGTTGGCGTGCTCGCCCAGCTCGTCTCGGCGCTGCAGCACGTCGCTGACCCCATGCGCCGGACCAAGGGTCTGCGTCTCTCCTGCACCCTCTGGAGTGCCAGCTTGAAGTACAGTATCGCGATGGCTAGTTGAAGTGTGTACGGGTTGTTTGGTGGCTCAGCATGCTGATAACTAAATCTTTTGGTCCCAGAGCATCAATACAATGCACATTAATGTTGCTAAGTTTGGTTAATCGCTTGCGATATGCTCAGACCATTTAGATCTCAATAGTCGGTGTACTTTGCTCAATGTTTAAACATTTCTAACAGCCAATTTGTTTTCATTATCAAGCAAGCTACCTACTCAAACTGCAATTAACCTATAATTTTGTTTCTTTTTTGAACGATGCACTAAATATATGAAGCTGGATTCTATTTGGTCTTTTCCAATATTCATTATAAAACATTCATTACTTGCGCTCTTGGAATTCGGTTACAACAGTTTAGGCGATATTTCAACGACGATATTTCTGCTCTAAGCGATTCGGCCATTCGGCCGATATAGACACTCGCGCGAGAAAATCGCCGCTGTAACGACCGAATGAACCGGCCGAATGGATAGTGTGCGGTGGCCTTAAGGGTCTAATGCATTTGAATGCCCCTTTAGGCTTTGTGACGTCAGCGCAGATCAAGCGATTTTAAAATCTTATACTAAAACCTTTACTAAAACCTGACAATAGTTTCTTAGGTGGTAGGTATACTCGTATACTACATTGTGCGCAACAACTGTCGCACTTTATACCAAATTATTGCTTCCAAGTGACGTCATAGGAACACCGGGGGCTCCAAAAATAAACAAAAATAAAAGTATTATATCTGAATTATCTGAATATCTGATATTTAGTAGATATTCATTCTTACTCTTTCTGAACCACGGTATACATCACTTTTATGTCTATTCATTACTTTTTTGAAGATGGGAGGGTCCCTTTAACTATGCGCACACTCCTTCCTTCGTAGTTCAAATTCCGGTTAAATAGTTAACCTTGGTGATAATTCGATGACGAATGAGACACACCCAGCTTTTGCTAGCCACCTATGTAGACACGTTCCTCTTCATTGATGTAAGAAGTCACGCATTTACCTATCACAAGACAGAAGAGTTGTTCCGAAACTCACGCTGCATCACCTCTAGAGTACCACTGCGGGACTCGGCTGCAGGGCCGCGCCCGGCTCCCAGCTGCGCCGCTTCACACAGGGCTCATTGCCAGCCCATTACTGCAACCGGTCCAATTTGCATCCTCCGCTCGGCGCCGCTGCGTTTCGCCGCGTATTGCCGTTGGCGGCTGTTGTGCTGAGCCGTCTGTTTGGCTGGCGATCAACCCGCGGTACAAGGGCGATAGATCACCATTATCACCGGCGGCGCTGTGGCCTATCAATGGTAACAGCGGCGGCCTGCCGGCACAGGGGACACGGGGAATGGCGGCGGCACCAGCCCGGCACCAGCCCGGCACCAGTCCGGCACCAGCCCGGTACCGTGGACAGCCGGGCGCCGCCGGCACCAGCCCGGCACCGGGGACAGCCGGGCGCCGGCGGCACGGGCCATGGTGTGGCTCCGGCATCACATCATCATCATATCATATATCTAGGAATACATCCATCAAATGGGTATTCAGCGTTCCACGTCATGTAACATGCAAGTAAAAGCAGTTAACCTATCAATCCACATTTATATTCCCCTTTAAAAGGCATCTGCGATACACTTTTTTTAAAAACAGGATTCAGGAAGAGAAGACGCGATTCTCGCACTCAGCGGTAGCCCATTCCATCCTCTCACCGCCCGATTGAAGAACGACCGACAGGCAAACTCTGTGCGGGCCCGCGGCACCTCCAGCTCGCCGGCACGTGTCGCTTTTGTTTCACGCACAGACACATCAGAGCGGCAGGGCGACCCAAAGCCGAGAGAAGGGTCGGGTCCCGGGTGATGTCCTGCCGACCTCTCCGCTCAGGCCGGGGTTGAAGCAGGTCGACGCCGAGTGGCCACGGTGCCGCTGTTTCTGCTCGCACCTGTACAAACTCCAGTTCACATCAGAACACAGCTGCTACTCGGGATAGGACAGACGGATGGAGTTGGGGTTCCTGTGTTCGTACCTACAGTAGCAGCCTCAGGTTCGCGCGCCACAGGATGCCACTCTTAAATTTGAGAAAATACTTCACTTGCCGCTCTATTCAGCTCCGACCTAAGCAGAAGCGTTCCTTTTACGTTTCATAATGGTTAATGCGAGAACTACAGGTGTCTCTGGAGCCGGTCATAGTTAGGTGACCCCTGAGTATCTGTCTCTGTCGGCCGAAGGTGATAAGGAGCGTGGGAGCCGGTCGCATGCGGCGCCGGCCTGCACCCCGAGAACAGTGGTGCCGCTGTGTTTCCCCAGTGCAGTGAGGGTTTATAAGCGTCGTTAATGACGCGATACCCCGGCGTCGGTCGGTAGAAGAGGGCCCCGTAGCGCTGCATGACGGGATGGCGGGGCAAGGAGAGGGCGGCAAGGTGGCCCTGCGAGATACTGTATTAATATACTGTGTTAAGTATTATTATTAATATTACTGTATTATACTATACTGTATTAAGGACATCCGCAATATACTTGCGGCTATTAATGCCTTTCGTCACGTGCGAGAGTAGGCTGACTACTGTGGGAGCAGGCTGACTACTGTGAGAGCAGGCTGGTCCCTCAGAGAGCAGGCTGACTACTGTGAGAGTAGACTGACTACTGTGAGAGCTGAGAGCAGGCTGGCGACTGTGGGAGCAGCCGGGTTCCTGAGAGAGGCGTCGGTGTGCCACCATCTACCCCCGGTGAAGCTGTGAGGTCCCGGGTCGGTTCAGAGACTGCAGGTGGAGGTGTGAGGTCCCGGGTCGGCTCAGAGACTGCAGGTGGAGGTGTGAGGTCCCGGGTCGGTTCAGAGACTGCAGGTGGAGGTGTGAGGTCCCGGGTCGGCTCAGAGACTGCAGGTGGAGGTGTGAGGTCCCGGGTCGGCTCAGAGACTGCAGGTGGAGGTGTGAGGTCCCGGGTCGGTTCAGAGACTGCAGGTGGAGGTGTGAGGTCCCGGGTCGGTTCAGAGACTGCAGGTGGAGGTGTGAGGTCCCGGGTCGGTTCAGAGACTGCAGGGTCGGTTCAGAGACTGCAGGGTCGGTTCAGAGACTGCAGGTGGAGGTGTGAGGTCCCGGGTCGGTTCAGAGACTGCAGGGTCGGTTCAGAGACTGCAGGGTCGGTTCAGAGACTGCAGGGTCGGTTCAGAGACTGCAGGTGGAGGTGTGAGGTCCCGGGTCGGCTCAGAGACTGCAGGTGGAGGTGTGAGGTCCCGGGTCGGTTCAGAGACTGCAGGTGGAGGTGTGAGGTCCCGGGTCGGTTCAGAGACTGCAGGTGGAGGTGTGAGGTCCCGGATCGGTTCAGAAACTGCGTTGTTTGGTCGGACTGGGCGGACTTGCGCTCTAAAAAGAGCGCTTGGCCGCAGAGTCGTCCGAGCAGTCGTAGACACACACATCAGATAAACAGTGCTGTGCAATAGGCGAACCAGCTCCGCCTCCATTTATAAACACTGGTGTGACTGCTAACTGCCCAATGCTCGTGCACTGTCATCACTTTCCAAGCAGCTTGGACAAACGTGCGGAACTGAACTTCACTATCAGGCTAAATCAGTGATGCAATCTCTCTTGATGTGTTCCATTATAGAACCAAATGAACTAGACTCAGGGGGATATTGAACATACTTGACTGCATACAAGCGATGACCTTGTTACATATTTTGGACACTTCACTAATCAATTTGCCCAAGCGATAGAAGTTTTTATCATTATGGCCAATTACATAAGAGCAAGCAAACTGGCATATGCTATGCAACGTTATATTCACACCAGATAGGTAACAAAGAAAATAAAGATGTAGAAGACGATAGAAAAGATAACTAAAACAAAGAGATAGACGAATAACTATGCCCAGTAAAGCGCTCAATGAAAACATTTATTTAGTGGTGCATGGTCCAGGCTACGGTCGCACTCATTGGTCGCATGTGCCAGTCTGAAGGCCTATGCTCAAGTTCATACGTGGACCGCTGTCAGATACCTGCGCAATGCGCATGCATGTGATGAGCAATTCAAAAATGTTAACAAACCATTTTTATGAACCATTCCTTTGAACTGTGCGCAATACGCATGCTTATCTACTATATAATAAACAATATGACTGCTGGCTATGAGCCGTTTTCACAGCGGTTATCTGGCACACATTTGGTCACATTTGGTGCGATCTGATCAAATTTGACTCACATTTGATTCTTAGTAGTGTTCGGCTTAGTCTTCTGCACTAGTTCCTTATACTCGTATGCCTGATTTAGCAAATTATCAGGCACGTTATTTTCGATTAAAGCATTGAAATAAATTCATGGTTTTTATTTGCTGTAAAAGAAATGTTAGATTTGGTCAAGTTTACTGCATTCGTCAGATGACTCGTCGTGAAAACGGCCATTGTGTTGGACAACTGATGATTTTATAATGGGTGCTCTAGTTGATAATAGTCGTTTTCACGGCGGGCTATCTTACGAATGCACCTTATTTGACCAAATCTGCACCAGTGGCGGCGGAACACTTTCAATTAAGGGGGGGTGTCACTGTCGACTTTTGGTCCCATTCTTTCCATGCAACGCCCATAGGGATAATGATAAGATGCCAAAATCAAAGGGGCACGGTGCCCCGGTGCCCCCCCCCCCGTTCCGCCACCTATGATCTGCACCTAATCTCTTTTATAACAATTAACAAATGTCTCTATCATGGATTTGTGTGTGCTTTAATCGAAAATAATGTCTGATAATTTGAAAGATGAGATTTTTTATAAGCATCTGTGCAACTCAAACAAACAGCCTTTCTTTTAATACCTATTCTATTGATAATCTGAATCTGTTATTAAGAAACAAGGAATCTAATTTGACCAAATTTACACCAAATATGCACGTAATCTGCACTAAATGTGTATCATATGGCCGTCGTGAAAACTGAAAACGGCTATTGCAACCAGTTTTTTCTTAATTCACTGACTAACGTCACAATCAAATTAAAATAGGTGAAAACATAACATTAGCACAGCAGGTTTATCGTTCGTGGTTGCATTGCTACCTACCTAATATTTTTTAATTGTTACTTTGCAGGATTTTCGTTTAATGAAAAGTAGCATTCAATGCATTTCTATTCTTTTGAGAAGATGGCGCCAATATTTATTTCAGCGCTGTCTAACCCAACAGCCAGGTACCTATGATGTATGGCAGCCGTCATGTTTAATATGATTATTATTCATGCATGGCCCATCGTTAGGGAGGTAAATGCGTTTCAATTTCCATTTTACCCAGGGCAATTCGCCATTCACTAATTGCATTTGCAGAACTAACAT